GAATGAGAAAATCCCTCCTTCTGGCCCCTTTTCCAGGCAAATTCCCCACTTTGGGCGCCTTGGGAGTAACCAAAACCCAGCTGGGGGGGGGTGAGGTCTCAATTTGAGCAGTGGTCTCAAAAAGGAGTAGCAAGAGGTGGCTTCAGCCCCCACTTTAAACCCGGGGGGGCTCCAGGGCAGGGACCCAGAGGGGGGCAGGGCTCCGAAATGTCGTTTCCCCACAAAGGGTGACGCTTTGCAATAGGAAAAATCCCCCCCTTCCTGGTCCCTCTCATCTCCCTCCGCCGTGGGGGGAGGAAGGGTTTGGAGGGGGGTGGGACACACTCACACACACACACTCACACACACACACACTCACACAGAGCAGGGTTTTGGCTTTTCCCCAAAAGCAGCCATGTTTTGGCGGGGCCTCCGGGGCCGCGTCTGCGCCTGCTCCTCAGCCAAGGCTTTTTCCTTTGGCTGCTTGCCCTGGCGTGGGGCCATATGGGGCTGGCTTCTTCCAGAGCCCGGCCCCCCTGGCTCTGGTGCAATTAAAAAAAAGAAAAAAAAAGATTAATCCATTATTTTTTTTTAATGGAGAAGGTTCAAGGTGGAAGCCTGTAACCTGTGGTGTCCCCCAGGGGTCAATACTTGGTTCCGTGCTGTTTAATATATTCATTAATGACCTGGAGGAGGGGACAGAGTGGATCCTCAGCACCAAACCACCAGTGTATCCTCAGTACCAAACTGGGAGGGGTGGTTGACACCCCAGAGGGCTGGGCCACCATCCAGTGTGACCTGGACAGGCTGGAGAGCTGGGCAAGGAAGAACCTCATGAGGTTCAATGAGGATCCTGCACCTGGGGGAGAAGAACGTCAGGCACCAGTACAGGTTAGGGGTGGACCTGCTGGAGACAAGCTCTGAAGAAAAGGATCTAAGAGTCCTGGTGGACAACAAAATGACAATGAGCAACCAGGGTGCTCTTGTGGCCAAGAGGCCAACGGGATCCTGGGCTGTGTAGGGAAGAGTGTGGCCAGCAGGTCAAGGGAGGTCCTTCTCCCCCTCTGCTCTGCACTGGGGAGGCCACAACTGGAATCCTGCGTCCAGTTCTGGGCTCCCCAGTTCAAGAGGGACAGGGAACTGCTGGATGGGCTGCGTCTGCGCCTGCTCCCCAGCCAAGGCTTTTTCCTTTGGCTGCCTGCCCTGGCGTGGGGCCATATGGGGCTGGCTTCTTCCAGAGCCCGGCCCCCCTGGCTCTGGTGCAATTAAAAAAAAGAAAAAAAAAAGATTAATCCATTAATTTTTTTAATGGAGAAGGTTCAAGGTGGAAGCCTGTAACCTGTGGTGTCCCCCAGGGGTCAATACTTGGTTCCGTGCTGTTTAATATATTCATTAATGACCTGGAGGAGGGGACAGAGTGGATCCTCAGCACCAAACCACCAGTGTATCCTCAGTACCAAACTGGGAGGGGTGGTTGACACCCCAGAGGGCTGGGCCACCATCCAGTGTGACCTGGACAGGCTGGAGAGCTGGGCAAGGAAGAACCTCATGAGGTTCAATGAGGATCCTGCACCTGGGGGAGAAGAACGTCAGGCACCAGTACAGGTTAGGGGTGGACCTGCTGGAGACAAGCTCTGAAGAAAAGGATCTAAGAGTCCTGGTGGACAACAAAATGACAATGAGCAACCAGGGTGCTCTTGTGGCCAAGAGGCCAACGGGATCCTGGGCTGTGTAGGGAAGAGTGTGGCCAGCAGGTCAAGGGAGGTCCTTCTCCCCCTCTGCTCTGCACTGGGGAGGCCACAACTGGAATCCTGCGTCCAGTTCTGGGCTCCCCAGTTCAAGAGGGACAGGGAACTGCTGGAAAGAGTCCAGCGAAGGGCTACAAAGATGATTCAAGGACTGGAGCATCTCCCTGATGAGGAGAGACTGAACCAATCCCTCAGCAAAAGCTGAACGTAACCCCTGTTCTGAACGTAACTTCCAGGCTGGGGGCAGAGTGGCTGGAGCTCCCTGGCAGAGAAGGACCTGGGGGTGTCGGTCAACTGTGGACTGAACATGGTGACACTAAACCTGCCCCCGTTTCAGGTGGCCGTGCTGCTCCTCTATCACACCTCCATGAGCTGCAGGAGCCCCGGGGACTGGAATGAGTTTGACTACAAGACCCAGGTAATCCCTTCTGGGTCCCACCTCGGGACCAGGGGTGTGGGGAGAAGCAGAAGAGCCTTTTTGGGGGTCACCCCAAGACCTGCCCTCACATTTGGGACCCCTCAAAGGGTGGTGCTGGGTCTTGTCACCCTCGTCCAGGACATCAGGGCCGTCAGAGGCTCGTGGCTGTGAGTGTGGGCAAGTTGTGGGGTGTCAGAGCTGCTGACCCCACGGTTCCTGCCCCACAGGTGGAGCTGGCGTCCATCCTCAAGTTCGTGTTGGACAACGAGGAGAGCCTGAGTGAGAACCTGGAGGTGTTTCTGCAGAGGAAGGGTGAGTGCCAGGCCCTGCTTCCCCGTCCTGTAGCTCCAGCCTGGAGTAATGGGCCAAAGAGAGCAGATTTGGGCAATTTTTTCTCCTGGTTGGCACCAGGCAGCACCCAGGTGAAGGTGTTTGCTGTTGTGATGTCCCAGTTCCAACTGGGAGCGGGAGGGGAACAAACCATCACCTTTTGGAGAGCAGCAACGTAGGGTGTTGTCATCCCAAGACACTGGCATCTTCCTTCCCAGCCCTACTGCTGGCATGGACCCAGCTGGCACAGAAGACCCTTTTCTAGAACACAAAAAAGTTGGGTTTTTCCCCCGTTTCACAGAACCACAGAAGAGGCCGTGCAGGAGCAGGCGCTGCCGGAGAGGATCTCCTTCATCCGTGGCTTCCTCCAGAGTAAGAGTTGGTGTTGGTGCCCGGGGAACAGGCTCCTCGGTGCCCATCACCCCTACGGGGGGGTCTGGTTTGGTATCTTCAAGCTCCCCCCTCCCCAAAGTGACCTCCCCTGTTGTGGCAGGAGGTGATTCCTGATGGAATTCCTTGCTGGAGCTTGGGTTTGGTGCAAAGAAGGTCCAAGGGGGTGTGAAGGGCAGGGTGCTCCGTGGTGCTGCTTTGGGATGATGTTCCTCACCCGGTGCTTGGGTTCAAGCTGCTCAAATCCTGCTGGAAAACCTCTCTCTGGGGGGGGGGGAAAATGGGAATTTGTTTTCACTCAGCCTCTCCTGGAAAAAAAAGACACCATATCCCACCTTCTATCCCACCCTCCATCCATGGGGCTGAGTTTGTGGTGGAGCAGAAGGAGCAGAGAAGATCTAGTCCCACCTCCCCACAGTCAGCAGGGACACCCCCAACTAGACCAGGTTGCCCCATCGAGCCTCTCCTTGAATATCTCCAGGGAAGGGGCTTCAACCACCTCCCTGGGCAACCTGTTCCAGTGCTCCACCACCCTCCCAGTGAAGAACCCTCTCCTCATCTCCAGTCTAAACCAGTTCCCCTCCAGCTTGAAGCCATTGCCCCTCGTCCTGTCACTGCAGGGAAGAACCCTCTCCTTATCTCCAGTCTAAACCTGTTCCCCTCCAGCTTGAAGCCATTGCCCCTCGTCCTGTCACTACAGGTTCTCCCCAACCTTCCTGTAGGCCACCCTCAGGTTCTGGAAGGGGCTCCAAGGTCTCCCTGGAGCCTCCTCTTCTCCAGGCTGACCAACCCCAGCTCCCTCAGCCTGTCCTCAGAGCAGAGGTGCTCCATCCCCCTGATCATCCTTGTGGCCCTCCTCTGGACCCTCTCCATCAGGTCCATGTCCTTCTTCTATTGAGGGCTCCAGACCTGCACACAATACTCCAGGTGAGGTCTCACCAGAGCAGAGTCAAGTGGCAGAATCCCCTCTCTGGACCTGCTGGCAACGCATCTCTTGATGCAGCCCAGGATGGGATTGACCTTCTGGGCTGCAAGTTCTCTGGACCTGCTCATGTCCAGCTTCTCCTCCACCAGCACCCCCAAGTCCCTTTCCTCAGGGCTGCTTTTCAATCCCTCACCCCCTAGTTTGTATTGGTGGCCAGGATTGTTCCAAGGATTGTCTCCTTCCATCATGGTGCCCACCACCAAGCCCATCACCTCAGGGGATGGATGCGTGCACACCAGTGTTCCCAGTTAGTCCCTCCTGCCTGACTGGGAACCCCTCTTGGCGTTGCAGAGCACTGCAAGCACAAATCGGCCGCGGAGAACCTGGTCTCGGCCCAGGAGCTGCTGGAGGGAGAAGAACTGGCCTTGGCCAAGGTAACTGGTGGGAAACCTTTATCTCTAGTCCATCCTGGTGGCCGTCTTGGGGTTGGTGACACTGAACCTGCCCCCATTTCAGGTGGCCGTGCTGCTCCTCTATCACACCTCCATGAGCTGCAGGAGCCCCGGGGACTGGAATGAGTTTGACTACAAGACCCAGGTAATCCCTTCTGGGTCCCACCTCGGACCAGGGGTGTGGGGAGAAGCAGAAGAGCCTTTTTGGGGGTCACCTCAAGACCTGCCCTCACGTTTGGGACCCCTCGAAGGGTGGTGCTGGGTGCTGTCACCCTTGTCCAGGGCATCAGGGCCATCAGAGGCTCGTGACTGTGAGTGTGGGCAAGTTGTGGGGTGTCAGAGCTGCTGACCCCACGGTTCCTGCCCCACAGGTGGAGCTGGCGTCCATCCTCAAGTTCGTGTTGGACAACGAGGAGAGCCTGAATGAGAACCTGGAGGTGTTTCTGCAGAGGAAGGGTGAGTGCCAGGCCCTGCTTCCCCGTCCTGTAGCTCCAGCCTGGAGTAATGGGCCAAAGAGAGCAGATTTGGGCAATTTTTTCTCCTGGTTGGCACCAGGCAGCACCCAGGTGAAGGTGTTTGCTGTTGTGATGTCCCAGTTCCAACTGGGAGCGGGAGGGGAACAAACCATCACCTTTTGGAGAGCAGCAACGTAGGGTGTTGTCATCCCAAGACACTGGCATCTTCCTTCCCAGCCCTACTGCTGGCATGGACCCAGCTGGCACAGAAGACCCTTTTCTAGAACACAAAAAAGTTGGGTTTTTCCCCCGTTTCACAGAACCACAGAATCCTATGGGGTTGGAAGGGACCTCTGGAGATCATCCAGTCCAACCCCCACCCAGAGCAGGTCCCACAGGAACGTGTCCAGGTGGGTTGGAATGTCTCCAGAGAAGGAGACTCCACCACCTCCCTGGGCAGCCTCTTCCAGGGCTCTGCCACCCTTAAAGTGAAGAAGTTCCTCCTCATGTTGAGGTGGAACTTCTCATGGTCAAGTTTGTGCCCATTTCCTCTTATCCTGTCCCTGGGCACCACTGAAAAAAGACCAGCCCCATCCTAATGACCCGCACCCTTGAAGGATTTAGAGGTGTTGATCAG